TAAGCTGCAGAAAGCTAGGGGCCTAGGCCTAGGCCCCGCTAGACGCGACGCGCTTCGTTTCGATAAGGCCTAGGCCTAGGCTAGACGCGACGCGCTTCGCTGTCGATACCGCGCCTGGTTATTTTTAGCTCGCGTCTCAGCGGTCACGTTCGCAAATGCACTGTTGTCACGGACCGCGAGACCTCGTTTCCTGTCTCTATATTTTAGAGTCTCTGGCGCTACTACGCTGCGCGTCCCTCGCAGCGCCTATAGGTCTTCATAGAGTTTGAAGCTCAGTTCAGTTTTACCGTAAGTTTTCTTTTTAATTGCTGTTGTTGTTTAATCATATATATTAGCATACACACATACGCAATACCGCACTTGTTGACCGATTGTGGGAAACATAAATGCACGTAATTGTGGGCTACAAATGAATAGAGATATATAATATGAGTTATTATTTGTTTTTCCAGGATGGGGTGGGGGAGGGGCGGAGGAAGACAAAGTGAGTAATTGAGTTCGTTAAGAAAAAGGACAATTTCATACTTACAAAATGGATTGCTTTTATGTCATGTTTTCTACACTCCCCTTCTACTGATGCAAAGCCTAAGTCTTCATAGGTATTAAGATTGTGTTAATTATTTAACATATTAATTCGTTGTTGTTTTTTTTCAAAATGAGCAGTTAATTGTAGGCTGGGATACTGTAAATCACACACCTCATTGTATGGATCCTACGCGCACACCCAAATAGCGCTGTTTAATATCGAGCACAAATAGTGATATAAAACACTGACAACATTTTAAAATGCAATGCTTAGATAAATAGCCGGTTTACCTTAAACGTTCAAAATACATTTTTTTTTAGATTGGCGTTGATTGGCACATGAACCTCTGCTGCTGCTGTTGCGCATGCTGTTTTGGCATCGTTTCCGCAAATGAGACAGAATATTACACCAGTCTTATTGGTGGGTAGTTATGCTGGTTGGCTACTCTATAGACCTTATATTCTCTCATCTCCACAACTTCGATAGTGGTTCTTTTCCGTTCAGCCAGCCTTGATAAGGTGTGCTAGAGTTGCAGCTGAAGCTTCTAGCAGCTTCTCAGTCACATTCCTGATTCCAGAGGGCCGATACGAGCGCCCTGTTGTGGTCAGCAGTGCCAAATCTAGACATACTGTTTAAGCGACGCACAGCAAAAGATTTCAATAAAATTATGTTTTTTGTTTTAACAAGGGATCATCAAAGTCAAAGCCGTCTCATTCGTTTTATTTTTCTGAATTTTACTCACTCATAATATGGTCTCACCGTGTAAAAGATTTTGTTTTTGGGGGATCTCGTGGCCTTGAGGTGGTGTTGGCCTGTCATTCAAAGGTCCCGGGTTTGAATCCGGGTAGTGACCGACAAATTTTCTTCTCTAAATTTGTCTCCTTTCACCTCCTTTTCTGCTGTCTAGCAATGTTATGTCGTCTGCTTTCTTCTCCTACTCTTTCTGCCCCCACTCCCTCATCTCCTTTGCCCCCCTTTTCTGGGCTCCTGATTCTTTCTACAACCTTTCTACTGCTGCTCCTTGGCTTCTTCTTACTGATGTCTTTCGGCCACACCCCTGATCTTCTGGTAGGAAAGATCTACACCAAGCGTTCTCGGACAAGGGCAAAAAATCTCGGAGGGCCCGTCTGAAAGTTGCGCACGTTAAAAATCCATTGGTGGTCTAAATTCGATAAGAGTAGGCTTCGGCTGCCACCCGTGCAAAATTCAAAATTTCCTACCAACTGAAAAAGTCTAATATGTGTCCCGCGCGCTCATATGACTTTATGCCTTATGCAGTTGCGAGCGCCGTAAAACACTCACAAAAACAAAAACAAACAAGATTCTGTTTGCTTTATTTGGAGATTATCTGGCTCATTTAAAGGTTAACAATCACTAAAATCCCTCTAAGTTCTTAATACATTTTAGCGATAGACAAATCGCATGAAAAAGAAATCAACATCTAAGGACTTCGCAGAGTACATGTACCGGTACCATTAATTCGTGATTGAAAAGTGTTGCTCTGCGCAGACTGGCCTTTTATTCCTCTCCGGAAATGCGGCTGGCCCCTCGACTTTGACCCACAGAATTCTACCTCTAAATGTAAGTGTAGAATTCTGTGCTTTGACACTCGTGACGTCACAGTTAAGACCTCTAATTCTATTTATAACCTCTTTGGCCCACAGCTTTATGGCCGCCTAGGTCCACAGCAAAGCGCTGCTGATTGAGATTTGAGAGTCGTCTCCCCCCGATACAATTCTGTCTGTTCGTACTTCCGGTTCTGTAAGTTGCCAACTCAATGCTGAAAATTTAGCATCTGAGTGTGAGTATTTAGATTGAAGAGAGAAGGAGTCGTGGCTGCCGGTTCTGGAATAGTGCATGAACTGGCAAAGAACCAGTCTGTTCGGGGTGGAGGATGCACTGATTATGTGGCTCATGTAGATCTAGAAATCTAGGCCTCTACTTCTTGTCGAACTGGTCAAAGTTTGAATTGATCGAAGTTTTTGTAGGGTGGTGGTCTTGTATTGTGCAGACGTGTCGAAATCACTGTAAATCAGTAGAGATTTCTAATTCTTGAATATATCCATCTTTTAACGTACATTGAATAGAAGCCTTTATCTACTGGCTTTTCACTGAAGTACATAAGATCTAGTCTCTAGATCTTGATTTTTGGAGTGGGAAGTTCCATCTTCAAAACCAGGTTGTTTACTCAATAGCACTACAAAAGCCTTCACAAGAGTAGAGGAACTTGTTCTGGGATTCTAACAGTTTCATTTAACTGAGGACGAGATTAGAAGCAAGCACGGATCTCAGAAAAAGAAACAAGAAAATGGACCTTCCCTCTGAATACAGGGCGGGTACTGATGATGCCAATAACAGCGGTACCAAATGTAAGTAGCCTAGTTTCTGAGGAGGAATTTCGGGGCTCTTTGCAATTTGCATTGCCTTCCCGTTTGTTTACTTTAAAAGGAAGTGGCTATTCTCATCCGGGGTGAGAATAGAAATACGATCGACCTCTCACCCCGGGTGAGACTTGCGACCGTAGGCTATTCTCACCCGGTTTGAAACAAGACCGGTTTTTCCTAATTTCGGAATACTTTCTATCGATGTGGATGATCAAATGGATTATAAAGGCAAAAAAAAGATTACGTTATAGCACAAAAGTAAGCTAATTTTATCGGCTACAAAGATGCTATGGCTATTTCACTTTTCGAATCGAGCCGAACAATGGGGGTCGCCATTTTGTTTTGCCCGGAAGTTCTCGCAAGATCTACTCCTCCCCCCTCTCTCTCTCTTTGTCTCTTTCTGAATACAGTCTATCGGTGTGGACGATCAAATTGACCAAAACAAAGTTAAAAAATGATGTTAAAACACAAAAGTAAATTAATTTGGTTGTCTACAAAGATGCTACGGCTATTTAACTTTTCGAATCGAGCTGAACTGCGCGGGTCGCCATTTTGTTTTGACCGGAAGTTCTCGCGCTACTCCTCTCTCTCTCTCTTTCTCTCTCTCCACTGCCCACAGACAAAATTGAACGCTTTTAGTAGGCTACAGTTGTAATGGAACGTTTGTTCACGGCACAGAATTCTCCAATTTTTCTGTTATCACAGTGCAGAATTCTGTGGTTTAGGGTGAACGCAAAATTGGTTGGCCTAGATCTAGGAACGGTGAACGCGCACCGGGTGAGAATAGCCAAAAGACTCGCCTGCACTATTCTCACCACTTAAATCCTAGAAGTGCTCAGCATTTCACCGGAAGTAACCCGCCAAAAATGCCCTGCCACCACGGCCGATCAGTTGTAGATCTAAACATGGGGGTTTGGCGGGGGGGATATAATATCTGCTGAGATACCCGAGATAAACCTGTTACTGAAAAATGACCATTTACGGCTCAACTGATGACAAAAGGCATTTAAAACCATATCTTTTCTTAAAGCTGATAGAATGAGCCACTCAAAAATGATAAGCAATCAAATATAATAATATCGAACAATGCGCAAAACGCGATAGACTCAACAATTTTACCTTAGCACGGCGAAGAAACGAGTGATACACATAGTGTGTAGTGTCGCTCAGCTGGACCGCGTCACTTTATCGATTGATATCTTGGCCTAGAGACGCTGTACGAGGTCAAGATAACTTGCAAAGTCATTTTATAACTTTGACCTGTAATTTACTACGTCATTTTCCATATAGGAATACTAGAATTCTAGTAGAATTTTCCAATGAAAAAGTTCAGCGTCTCTTTATATATAGGGCCTGCGTGCTTCCCGGTCGAAGTAGGTCAACCCTATATAAGGGCCTGCGCACTTCCCGGGTAGCCCCAGCTCACGCCCTTTATATAGGGCCTGCACGCTTCCAGGGTTAAGAAAAGGAAGTGATTGCTAAGACTAAGGACAAAAGTGGCCTTGTAGGCTAAGAGAACCCTAGCACATATATATATAAGCCAGTAGCCTACAATATTTTTCTGCCTTTTTTGTATTCAAAGTCTATTTTGGCCGGATTGAACTTTGGTGGACCCACTGTGTTTACATATGTAGGTGTATTAATGCACACTAGCCATAAAAACTATAAACAGTTGGGGGGGGTTTCAGGGGGGCTGGCCCCCTTGAAAAAATTATAATTTAAAAAACACACAATCTTCACGTTTACGTGGCAAATTATCAGTTTTAAAATGGCTGCCAATGAAACGGGAAGGCAATTTCTAAAGAGCGCCAGAATTTCAAGTAGATTCTAGTAGTATTCCCACCTCTTACAATTGTAACAATTTCTTCAATTATTGTTGGCGTTGGTTAGTCTTAGTGACTTCTAAATTAAAGATCAAATTCCATATATATATCCCCAACTTTGAGAACAATTTTGGATACTTTCTAAGTATAGTATCAAAAATCAAAATAGCCAGCTGCAAGCACCTTTTTTTTGTGACATTTTGCATGTTGCAGAATTTTTAAAAAGTTTAAAACTAGAAATGGTGGTAAACAATTTTTAAAAAATCCAATTTTCAAGATGGCCGTCTTGTCCATGGCAACAGCTTACGTAATCGAGTGTCAACATTTGAACATGAATCTTTTGTCTTGTATTTACTGCCTGTGACAAAAGTTGTTTCAGTTTGTCTTTAGTTAAAAATGTTGTCCTGTAAGTATCGAGCCCCCTTAACTTATTATCTGTTGAATTCTTAGATTATGGATGGATTTACTGATTTAATCAGCAAAAAAATGACAAAAAACTATAATCAAACTTTTGGGGCCCACCTTCTTTCAAAGTCTTAACAGTTTTAAAGTGGATAAACATGATTATTTAATTATTGATAAGTGTGTTTGCCCTCTCCTCTCTTGGGTCACATGGTCTTTAAAGATTCCTTGGAATATTTTCACCAGTTTACTGAAGCTTTTCTTTTGTTTTTGTTTCCTCTTCAACAGCGAGTCAGAAAAGACGAAGCAAGGGGAACAAGAACCAGAAGGCAGCACAACCACAGGCTCCACAACAACAGCAATATTTTCAAGACTTTGGCATGCAGAATCCTCAGCCATACATGCAGAATCCCGGGCAGCCAGATATGTTCTATGGTGGTCAGGGTGGGTGCTAGTACTTTTTTATAAATATTTTATTTCTAGTGAGAGCTGAGGTTGTTGTGAACTGGCCAGTTATATTGACAGATCCAGAGTTGTCAACCTTACACCAAAAAAACCGTATTTGTAAGCTTTTTCGGCGATTGTAAGATTATATTATAAATACACCTTTTTGCCGAATTGTACAACTTTTTGCTTGATCCGATCGATCGTTGAAATAAAATTTCGCTTTGTTAGCCACCCAGATTCGCAATCGCCAGCAGTCCATTCTGTTATTATAGGCCCCTATGACAGCGAATGTACTATTGGGCGAAGACACACACACCGTCACAGTGACTCTCCTTGGTTAATTTTGACCTACTTTCATTTTGTTAAGGCCTACTTCCACCGAGTTCATGTTGAAGCTCTCATAGAGTTGTATTGTGCGTCCTTCGTGATAGTTTCTCCACATCAGAAATCGAAATGTAACATTTTTATATCTTATCTATTTACTTTCTTCCTACTGTGAGTAACAAATCAAATGCTGATCAACAAAAACCTTTCTGTCTCTACTACTATTTTTCTATTGCTCTCCCTTTGTTTGGGATTAGGGTTGCTCAGTCAGTGATCATGCAGCAGTTTATTATGACTTTCAAGGTAATGGTTTTGACCTCAACATAGACTTGATGCTCCCTTGCATTGTCCAGTAAGAAATGATGTATAGTGGTTCTCAGACAAATTTTATTTGTCAAGAGTATTACTAATGTTCATCTTTTGTGTTAACAGTAATGATGTTTGTGGTTTCTATTGTAACATACTATTTTCCTCAACAGAAAAATTTCCTACTTTTTCTGGAACAGAGATGTAACTGAAAATGTATCGTCAGGGTTGCCTGAAAAAAAAAAGTTTTTTAAACTTGTGATATTTACTGCTCTGATCTAAATCTGACGACAATGCTGTATAATTTGAAAACATACAGTTTTTTGTATGAACCAGAATATTTTATCAAACATTTTAACCCTACCCGTACGCCTAGAGTCATTTTATACCCCTGGGGTTGTATTCTTCACATTTTAGAATACTTTTAGTGTCTCTTTGAAAATTTTAGTATTTCTCAAAAAATCATTTTGACAGACTGCTATGCAAAGCGTACCGATCGAATTAACAAGTGAATTTCCCTTTTAGAAAGTGGGGACACAGAGTTCCCCACGTCGTATGGCTACGATAGTAAAACACGACATACGGATAGGGTTAATGACCTGAAAACTGCCTGTCTCAAGTTTTTAGAGTGCACACCTGTTGATATTGATTAAAAATTAAAACCGCTGTCTAGTCTTCATTTGGAAGTCATGTGATGGGACAGTAGGTCTTTTTGGAAGTAGCTCACTAATGTTCTTCAGGTCAGAATAGATATTTGTGGGTGGTTGGCGGTTGCTCTGGTGTTGTTTGCTCCTTTCTTCCTTTAAACATCTATCGTCTTGATCTCTCCTTTTTTGATTTTTGTGTTTGTTCCTCTCTTGTAACACCTGTAATCTTAAGCACTTACATGACTGTGTTGTGTTGCAAATACCATAAAACTCCTTATTTTAAAAAAACAAAACGAAAAGATATTTTAAGTTACATACTGTTTATTAATTGATGTTTAAATTTTTTTTCCAGGCTTTGATCAAGGTGCCTATGGAGGTCAGATGGCAGGCATGCCTCAGTTTCCAGGTCAACAGCTCCTGAACGATCCAATGGCCAACATGGCAATGCAGTATGGTCAGCAACTTGCAGGCCAGGGAAAGGATATAGTCAATAAAAATGTAATTTGTTAAATAGAAGTAGAAGGAAGTTTATTTGTTAACATATTTATAAGATAACAATTTATTGATCTCCACAGAAAAATTTGCTGCAGCATGGTAAATACTTAATGTACATACACTAACAATGATATGGTGCTACTCTTCAGTGTTCGTTTCATATTCTAAGAGCAAAATTACTTCCCTTTGCATTTGTTTTTCATATAAATGACCTGCTTATTTGTTGCATCGTTTACTTTTTTTACACATTTGTTTCTGGCTGGCATATTCAAATTTCAGTGATACTGACCATGAGTATTTTGTCATTAATATATTTCACAAATTGTAGTCTATATTGTTTAACTTTTAACAGATGAAGTGATAAAAGATTTTTGTGTGCAGAGTCTGCAATCAGAAAGAAATATAGAAATTGTTTTTATTAAAGATATGCTTTCAGTTTACTGAACCTTACGTTTTAACATCTTTTGTTCAGAAACCGGCTGTAAGATTCAGGAAAATATTGTAAGCGTTTAGACCACAATGTGAAGAAGTGTTCTTTCCTAGATGTGTGTTAATTTTGTAGTCAAAATTTTTTAAAGGTCCAATATTTTATCCTTTTCAGGTAGAAAAGTACATCTCATCTTCCAAGTTGAAATATTATTTCGCTGTTGATACTGCATATGTGGGGAAGAAGCTTGGTCTTTTACTCTTCCCATTCACACATTCGGTAAGCAGTTGTTTTTTTCTTATGAGATTTTTTTTTTTCGGGGGGGGGGGGGGTGTTTGTTTTGCATATCTGTTATTTTGTCACCAGATATTTCAAATTGTTCTATACTACACTGGGTTCAACATACCCGAAAAAATATTACAGATCTAGGGCTATGGTATGAAAATAGTATCAAAACAAGTAACTAGTTAAAATAAGTTACTTGTAGTTTTTTACCTGTAGATTGCTATCTTCTGAGTAAGACAAAATATTTATGGTATTGGATGCTCTTCATTTGTGTTGAATGCATTTTCGTAATTTTTAGAGTTAGTAATGTTGTGTAAGTCTCTGCTCCCACATCTTTATTTTTTTTCCCCTTTAAACTCAAACGTTTGAGGTTATTTTGTTTTTCAATATTTCATTGTAAAAGTTGTAACGACATTGAGTCTGAAAAACAAATTCACAGGACTGGTCGATACGTTACAACCAAGAAGAACCAATCGCACCAAGATATGAAATCAATGCTCCAGACTTGTATATACCTGGTGAGTTTTGTCATGAATACTACTCTGTCATCCCTTTGAATTCTTCCCAGGAGGCTGAGTATGTTTTGGAATATTTTGAATCAGACGAGTTAATTGTATATTGCTAAGTACAAAGATAGTACTTTTGAGTTTCTTTTATTTTAAAAACTGTTACTTTTTAAATAACAGCTATGTAAATATTACTTTATCCAATTTCCTCCAACAATTAGAAGCACACATAAACCACAGGAAAAGAGCTAATGTGATGGATATGGCAAGTGGTGACAATTAGCCAGGGAGGCAGTTTTTCCCCCCTTTTCTTTGAATCACAGATCCCACCTCAAAACCACTAATGGGGTAGGGAGAGAGTGTAGATTCTTATCTTAAACATTACATCTTTTGAGTATGTCATGTAGTTAATTCTATTGATGAATTTTTCATTCCAGTTATGGCTTTCGTCACCTATGTCTTGGTTGCTGGGATGGTACTTGGAATTCAAGATAGGTATGGTGATTTTGTTTTTAAAAATGTTCCACTGCATTCATTTGTGGTGTAGCTGTTATTGAAAGTAATAGAAAGCGTGTTCACATCCTATGGACACACAGGACTGGACAAGCAATATGTTTGGAGGGTGACTGATTGGAATATCTTTTTATTGGTCACTTGAAGTGCATCTTTGAGAAGGTTTCTCAATAAGCATAGAAACTTGTGTTCAAAGAACTTTTAAAAAATGACAATGATTATGTTTTGCAGGAATTTTTAAGAAAGGTCATTTTCCCCTCGAAGTCATAATTTACATGTGCCTATGTCATTTGCAAACTTAAGGATGCACTTATTTTCGGCTGGTGTCAATGATGTTATGTTTTTTTTACCTGACATGCAGAAGACGCCAGTTCCGTTTCCATGAGCAAAAGATTTTAAACAGAGTACCTCCATCTTTCTACCAAGATGTATGCCACAGTGCCAGGGTTGACTTTGATAGAGCCAAATTAATTAATTTGATGAAGGCGTAAAATGTATACCATGTTTACTATGGTTGATTGCATGTGAAATGAGAAGAATATTAATTCCTGAAGTCTGTTCTTGTTGATCTTCCAACAGGAGATAAAATTATTATGATTCCCCTGTGATAAATTTGATAGAATATCTGGAGAGGCTTTCTGCTGGAATGGCATATCTCTCACAATGCAGGTTGGTCCTAACAGGTAGATTAAAAATATTCTACCCAGAAGACCGTCAGCATCATTCATCATTGTATGTCAAAAGACAAGTTTCCAGGAGGAGCAAAAAATATTTTTATTTTCTGGTGGGATATTATTATCCTAATACAAAAAATTTAAGAGGAAGGAGATTAGGACCAATCGATGCGCCTCTTCAAAATCTACAACTTACTTTAGTTGGGGTTTTTTCTTCAAAATTTTGAAATGCTTTAATGTTGAATGACAGCAGCGAAATAAATCGAACTTGTGTAGATTGTTGATGCGAGCATAGAACATTTCCCACTGACCTCCCACAGGTTCACCCCAGAGCAGCTGGGCGTCCAGGCCAGTTCAGCTCTTGTGTGGCTCATCATAGAACTGGTGGCCATGAGTCTCAGCCTCTACATCATGAACTTGAATACAGAGCTCAAGTATTTAGATATTGTTGCATATTGCGGATACAAATTTGTTGGGTGCGTATCTCTGATTTTTGTTCTTTGGTAATTTGATATGATGTAAATTGCAGTATTTTTGCTTACTTTTGCAAACCTGCCACTCATCCCGATTTAATCGGGATATCCCGATTTTTGGTCCCAAATCTCAAGCATCCCGATTTTCCCGATTTCGATCGCCAGTATCCTGATTTTTCGTGGTTGCGTCTGTTGCGTCCGATTCTTAGAAAAAAGTATAAAAAGTTCTGCAATCACTTTTGCTTGGAAACACCGATTGGACTTTTTATCTGCAGGAACTTGGAACGCTATTTTCTAAAGCATCTATGCCGAATCTAGGTCTAGTAGATGGCTAACGTACGTTATTTAAACTAAAATCCACCTTGTTTCAAACGCTCACTCGCATCACATGACATGACCTCGTACGTGTGGTGAGTAGAGCGTGTGTCGGGGACCGTCGGTTGTCGGGGTCAACAAAGTTCATTCACACCGGTCGCGTTGGTCGAGGTGTTTTTCGGGACTTAACCAGTGTGGACGGCCGGGGGGAGGGGGTGGGGGTATTGTTTTGACACTTGAGCTTAAAGTGCATGCCGTGATACAGGTACTAATTAAGGGGAAAGGAATAAGGGGAAAAAAAAGAACAACCTTGGCGCGATCTTTTTTTCGGTGTGATGGAAGTCAAACGTTGTTAAAACGCGGGCGTTTTGCGTGGATGATTAGAGTTACGTGTCAGCTATTTTCAAGACTACGAGTGTTTCAGCATCACTGCGACCTTCGCTCCCCCAGTCTATCTAACTTCGACTCGAGTACATATATGCTGTCAAAGTTTTGCCTTGCATACTTGACTCTTAAAAGGGAACCAGGACACCCTCCCCGCCTTCCCCAGTGCCCTTTATGACTGATTTGCTGTTGATCCGCATTTTTTTCACCAGATCCTGACTTTTAAACTCAGAAATCCTGATTTTTAGATTTCATAAAGTGGCAGGTCTGCTTTTGTGTTAATACACATGAAAAGAATAAGGTGATATTTTCCTATTTTGTAAATGTCTTCTGGAAACTATTTCAAGTTGTCTTACAATTTATTTATTTTTTTTTTTTTTTTTGGGGGGGGGAGGGTATATACAATGTTGTGTGACATGGATTGACAATGGCGGACTACTGACTGTGAGTGAGGGGAAAAAAAAAAGAAAGGGGGACAGTCAGCTAGCTTAGAGGAATGTTGAAACAGCTGAAAATTTCTTTGTTTTAGCCAGGTCAACTAGAAATTTTTATTTTGCTAAGGGAAGTTGCAATGTAGAGGATAAAGAGGTTGACAGGAATTTTCTGTTCAACAGTCTACTGTAGATGAAAAGAGCAGCAATGCTTTATTAAATTTTGGAAGGCTGAACCTCTTGCCTCCCTTTTTGATGATTGCAAAATTGCGGTAAAATTATGGCTGGGTCATTGTAGCTCTTGATTTCATAGGTCAGCTTAACCCTCATAGAATACTCTCTACAGTTTTTATAAATGTAGATGATGCCTGAACATTTGTTTTAAAATCTTCATTATTCTTGACTGGATTTGCTTGTGTTTTACCTTTGCAGAATGACATTCAGCTTACTAGCTGGTGCGGCATTTGGATCAACCGCATATTACTGTGTCTTGTTATGGTTCTGCCTGTCTCTGGTGTTTTTCTTGGTAAGTAAACTGTATATTTCTTTTTTCTTTTTCTCTGGCTTCTTTTTCTGCATTTCCCACCTGAGACGTCAGCTGTAGATTATTCATCTAACATTACTTCTGATTGTTATGTCTATGGCTCTTTTTGTTCTTAGCATATAGCATTCATCGTCTTTCAGTCAGCTTTGCCGTTTTCAAAGATGCTCGTGTGCATTTACAGTAATGTCAGTTCCTTCTTTCATAAGTAGGGATTAAGAGTCCTTCCTGGGCAGCCAGTCATTTCATACCAACTCGTCTTTGGATACAAATCTGTTTTTACTTATACCCATCTTGGCCAAAGGACTTCTCTAAAAAAAATTTAGTAGCTGAGAGGACTTTGACCTCAAAACAAAGGAAAAGAAAACTGTAGGTCCAACATTCTTTATTTTATAAATAAATGCTTGTCCACAGTTTTCTTTGAGACCCTTTGAGGGGAATTATCAATTCTTTGTTCACTTTTGTGTTAATGATTTTTACTGCTGCATTTAAATTTGCTTCTTTCTATTTTATTCACTATACCAATTTGTCTCTTATGTTTTTGTACCTAAATCTTTAAACAGGATTGTTTGTTTCTGCCTCTTTTTATCTTCCATGACTGAATGAACCTTAGATCTCTATGTATTTCAATTCAGTATTATTCAGATGGAATTAGCGCCATTGAGCACCAAAAATGTCATACTTATTCACATCTTATTTTTCTGTAAAGGTTTATTCCTTATTTTAAAAAAGTACTGAGCTTAGAATTATTGATTGACTGTACTTTGCTGGAGATCTTAATTTTTGGTTATATTTTTTGTCCTCTCTACTTTTTACTTTTTTGTTTGTTTGACATGAATTTGCTAGTTTTAGTCCTCTAAGTTTTTTGTAAATATATGAGTATGATATGTAGTATGGTATCTTAGCATTTATTTGTGTGAGATGCACTGGATCGCTCGAGTTATAATACCAAGTTGGAAAAAAAATACTTGTTAACACCCCATAAATCTTGTTCTGTTCCTCAGATGAGAACTCTCAAAGTTCAAGTATTGCCACATCAAGATGATGACGGATTCACGCGTGGAGGCAAGCGCAGTTTGTACCTTATTCTGTCAGTGTCTTTGGTGCAGCCGCTGCTCATGTGGTGGCTCACGAGTTATATCATGGTGTTCAGAAAAGTATAAGTCCGTAACGTACCATTCTGATTTTGTTGTCCTTTCTTTTGGAAACTTTCTTTTTTTTTTTTTTTGCATGTTGGAGACAGAAAGAGAAATGTGTGTTTTGATTGTTATGTTTGGAGTGCTTTATTTTGGAGGGTTTAAGGTGAGGATCTCCTCACACTTAACGGTATGTATCTTTTTTACTCATGGGTTTAATGATTTCAAAAATGTGAAATTTTCGTTTATAATCAGTATTCCATCTTTTGTTGACCATTGATTCATAGAGATTCATATTTCGTCCACCAACCGCTGTCAGGGTCTTGGGAAATATTGTTGAAATATTTGAGTCATGTATGAAACCAATTCCTTCTGATGTGACTTTTGGTTGTTTTGGTTGTCATTCCTTTAGATATATGTTTATGCACAAGACTACGCTGATGCTAGTTCAAGAGATCTAAGTGTTGCACTCAGCATGCAGATAAGAGAAACATTTGTTCATACTTTTTCATTCATTTTAGGCATAGGATATAGCTCTGCAAATGCTCTGCTCTCTTAGAAATAATGGTATAGTCTGACAAGCGTTGCTGCTTTGCACAAAATTTGCGGGGTCTCTGTGCATCCGTTCAAATATAACCTGAGGGAGTCAATGTTAGATTTAGCTATTCTGACCGTATTATTAATATTTATGTGGATGCATATTATGTCAAAAGACGAAGGTTGGCAATTCAATTTTTCAGTCTGTATGAGCCTGGGGATTAAAGCTGTTTGAATGTGCTAAGGGCCGTACCTATTTGTGTTGCAAATGCTGTAAAACTATTACTAAAACTAAAACAGAAAATGTATGGGACTAATTTCGCCATAAAAATCGTAAGTTATAGCAATTACAGGGTGTGTGCATTGTATGTTTTCACATTTTATTCATTACTTTTATTATTGTTTTCTTCTTGTAGAAGGTGTCTATGTGTGACTCAATGCAAACTGTTGTTTTTGTTTTTGGGGGGGGGGGGGAAGGTTTGTTTGTTTTAGGTTTCCTGTTCTAAGGGTGACTGAATTAACTTTGACCTAAACGGCATTTATTAAAATGTCTGCGGCACCTGCTGCATCAAACGTATCCTTTTGGCCAAGTGAGTGGATAACCCAGTCTCCGAAAAGAATGTATTTTTATTGATTTTGCGTCATCCCTTCTTGAAAAATAAAACAATAAAAGAAACAGAATCTGGTCCTTTTTTTTTTACCGTTATGTGGACCTGACTGTGTGAAAGCAACTTACTTTTAAAACAGGACTTGATAGGGAGGAAAAAGGTTTTTTTGCCATTGTTTTCGTGTCAAATTTAGGAGATCTGGAAATTACATGTCATACAATCACATCATGATCAATATGGTTGTGGGTAATGTCTTGAGTTCTGGTTGGGAGCAAGTGTTAAAACAAAAAGGTGGTCATTTCTGTTTAAGTGTCAGGTTTTCTTAAGAAATTTAAAGGTTTTCACTGAATTTCATTGTTTCCGGTTTGAATGAGTTTTATGTTTTAATTGCAACAACTGTTCGAAGCAAATGTATTTACATCTAGTCTCTCCTTGTAGAACTTTGTACATATATTGTCAATTTTGTTGAGACACATTTGTCCCTGCTGAACTATTCATTGTCAGGGATTGACATCTTTTCGAGATAAAGCACCAGCAAAGTTACAAAAGTGCTTCTTCCCTGTGATCTCTTTTCTTTTGGTATGTTTTTCATCTTTCTTTTCCATTAACACTGGGTTTCTATTGCAAATCAAGTAGAACAAAGTGACTCAGTTGTACTGACACATCTGGTTGTGGCTCTATTGCCTCATTGTTGTTGCCTGTGTCTCTATTCCAGTAAGAAGGGAAAAAGTACAAGAAAGAAAAAAGGCCTACTCCTTTGGTGACTTCATGAACAAATCTGATCTGAATTATTATTTGGACTTGTTATAATATAAAGTCTGAAGTCATTGAATCATATCTTAAGTGAAGAAAAGGAGGAGTAGGGCATGAATCAACTAACATAAAGGTACAAAGCATGAATGAGTTTAGTTTCACCCTGCTGTGTGTAAGCCTGTAAGGGTGGGAGTACAGTTTTGAGCTGACTCACAGATATGCCTATTCAATGAACTCTACTAATTTTCTTTTTGCACTAGTTTTGGCATAGATCATAAACAAAGCTTTTTATTATGTCAAGGGGCAGGGTGGGGGATACTGATTTCTTGTTACTTTACTGTTTTCTCGGTATACGCATAGGCTGTTTGAACACTTTAGCTGCTTTTGTAGCCTACATATTGGTGCCTAATATTGATATTTTGAAAGCTTTAAGAACTAGGAGCTATTATTTGCGGAAAGAAAATATTGGCTTGACGTGTAGAGATTTAAATGTTGCATCCACAATCCACATATATGATCCATGACTTCCATTCATATCTGATTTATATCGTATAAGCATTGGTGCATGTTTTGAGAGAAAGTGAATATATGTAAAATGAAAGTGGACCTTTTGCTGTTGATGATGATTGAGAAAAAAGACTTGTTGGTATTGAGATGGGCCGTGTATGTCATGTCTTTCTTTTTTTCTGTTCATTGAAAAAAACAGACAAGTTTTCTCTCACAGTCACTGAGTAATAGAGATTGTTGTGTAAGGACTGATTATAATCACTGTAACTGTAATTAATCTATTATGTGTGCTACTTGTCACTGTCTTGTAAAATTGTAAACTTTTGCCTGCATGTGATGTCATTAATTCTGTCACTCATTAAATACCGCCTGTAAAGTAAAGAATATTTTGTCCATTCAGTTTTTAAAAGATGTATTGTGAACATCTCTAGTTGTTTTATTTTTTTTCGTTGCTGTCTTCCTCTTCCTCCTACCCTCTGGGGGTGGTTGGTTTGTGGATGCTTTGGTGGGGTTTGCTCTTTCTTTCCTTTCAAACATCTATTGTCCTGATCTCTCCTTCTTCTTTTTTTGTGTTTGTTACTTTCTTGTAACGCCCCCTCTAATCTTCGGCACTTATATGACCTCATTGTGTTGCAAGTGCCATAAAATTCTTAGTAAAACTACAGTCGAACCTGCCTTAACGGAAACCTGTATAAAACGGAAACCTGTCTTAACGGAATCTCCCCGCTCCCCCCTTGTTTTTTTCCTCTTTAATTAGGCCTACCTGTATAAAATAGAAACCTGTCCAACGCGGAAACGGAAAGAAAAATCCGCTCCCTTCCGAGGGTTTCACCTGTCTAAGACGGAAAATGCTTTACCAGCTCATCACTGATTTAAAACAAAACTCGTAAGTTTGGTTCCGCTGGCTCTAAACTTAACACCACACCACGGCCATACCGCTGGGCGAGGAAGGGGAGTAGGGGTGCAATTTGGGGGTAGATATGTGAACCCTGAGCTCTGCAGATGGTCGGGGTAGTGAGGGTGTGAAATCTCACGACTGCCTGTGAGAGTGCTCGAGTACCGAGCCACTACGGAAACTTTCTTGGGTAGCCAGAAGCCAGAGGTGTGAAATAGACTGACCAATGCCAGCCGAGAAAAACGCTCCTTGAATCGTTGTTACGTGATGGCAGTGAGGGGTGGCATTGGTTGACTGTGCTTGTTACACCGATGGGTGGGGCTAAGGGTGGAAGCAAAGGAGATGTTCAAACGTTTCTGTTTTTAATAGGTCAAACAGTGGTCCTATGAAAGGCAAGCACTGGTGGTAATTGGATAAGTAAGACTGACACATGTCATAGCAATGGAGAGGTGTGAAGTCTTGACCACTGCTTGCTGACCGGACAAGCGATCCTTGATCCCACCGGCTGGGTCTTTGAACCGCCCCCCCCCCTCACCCTTTCCATCTCCCCCTAAATTCCCCTGTCTAAGATGGAAAATGTCTAAGACGGAATTTTTTTCTCGCTCCCTTGCGATTCCATCTTACACAGGTTCGACTGTATACTAAACAACCCTCTGGAGTAAATTTAAAGATTGTGTGCTTCACGGTCTTCACCTACTAAACCTACAAGTAGGGTAGTGGTCCACCTCTCCTGACAATGAACAGAAATAATCTGTCCCTGCAGTTTTATGGTGGGTGGTTGGCGGGTGCTCTGGTGTGGTTTGCTTCTTCTTTCCTATCAAACATCTATCGACAGTATCATCCTTATCTCCCCTTCTTCTTTTTTATGTTTGTTGCTCTCTTGCAACACCTCTAATCTTCTGGCGCTCATATGACCTTATGCAGTTGCGAGTGCCGTAAAATCTCTACTAAAACTAAACTAAGCAGTTTTATGCAAAAAAAATTCTGAAATTATGCAAACTGAGCCCAAAAATGTGAAATTATGCGATTCTGTTAATTTTAACAAAAAATGATAAGGAAAAGTATCAGAAATTGTGCAAAAAATGTTCAAATTTTGCTAAATTTTCCAGGGTGCATAATATTAATAACCACTGATACCTTGTATAAAATAAAAGTGAATGCTAATGTCTGACAGTCTCGCAGGTTTCACCGTACTATGTCCACCATGGGAGTGGGGAAGAGACATTGAATGAATTATTACTTTGTGAAGGGAGTTATTGTAAAGTGTGAGGCTTTGGTCAGAAGGGAAGCAAAATTATTACAAAATATAAAAGTAAATAGTAGCCTATTACCTCTATTTCTTAAAGCAAATGTGATAGTTGATAAACTGGACACTTACTTCAGGTACGGTATGATGATGATTAAGATTATTCCCCCGTTCTCTCTAGACGTGGGTACAAAAACCTTAAGGAGTAAGCCATACACAAGTCAAACTCGGATATGACATGACTGACGGGACCGGCAGGTTTTCTCTGTTATAAGCGAGTCCTGTTGTAACCGTTATCAAGGGAAACTACCAGTACCATTGCACCTTCAGCTTACTATATATTTGATTATCGCTTATCCTTTTCCAGTGGGCTGTTTGTTTAGCCGACATTGGAGATGGAATCATTGACCCCAACACTGTGGGGGGGGGGGGGGGGGTAGGCCTATGTGTTTGAAACGAAAGTTTGTGTTCAGGCAAACGATCATATAAACACAAACAGGCGAAATATCTCTTGTTTGAGACAAATTTTAATAATTTGACGGATCAAAAGCAAGTTCATGGAATCTCAACCTTGTGCTTTTGCTAGGTTTTTCCACCTTCACTTTTCTCTTAAATTTTTGGATTTCTTGTCCAAAGTCTATGAAGTGTACATGATAAGTATGCAGAACAATAGATATTATCAGTCCTAATCTTCTACTTGTTGCTGTTTCCTCACCATCTCACTACTACTACTACTGTATTTCTTCCTGTGTCACAACTCTTTACTTGTTGACTTTCATCTTGCTGAGAAAATTTGCTTTGATAACTCTTTTAAACCCTGAGTTTTTTCCACCGTTACCCGGAGCTTTTTCTACAGTCACCTAAACCTGGTGCACTATGTCTCATTATAACCCCAAAAGCTTGCCTCCAACTTCTAAATTGCAGAAACAAAGGCTTAGTCATTACTAAAAAAAAACTTGGTTCCCGAATAGTTCCGAAAAACAAACAAAAACTAGCACTAAATAAAACGAAACAGTTGTCACAAGTATCGGACGCTCCCAGCGTCCGTTGGGGAACAGGGTTAGTACATGTACCACGCTCCCAGCGTTTAAAGAGTCAAACAAATAGCCCTGGCCTGAGCAGAAGGGAGATACAGAAGGCTTCCTTTGCAACGGGAGGTATGACTGAAAAAGCCAGACTGACTAGAATTAAATTAATGGGGAGAGAATGAGCAGAGATGAATTTTTCCTAACCAATTTAGACTTGTTTGAATTATCCCCCCTAAACCAAGAAATTGATTACGATTTTAAATAATGCCTAAAAGTAAACATGTTTTTGTATAAAAATATAAGTTGAAATTAGATCTAGCGTTTGTGAACACAAAAGCAGAAACAATTGAGAGGCATAGAACATCTGATTGTTGTTTGTTATCACTTCCTGCACTGTACCTTGTACAGTACAAGTACAAGCAGGGGAACTGGTACTGGTATCGATGACATAGCGGTTAGGGGCTACGCTGTTGCACGCAGAAGACCTGAGTTCAGTTCCCGAATGGTGAGAACATTTTTATTTTTATTGAGTATCTTGGTCTTTCTGCTGCCTCAGCCCAAGTTGGCCCTGACAGGCAGGATCAGAATCCCACCTCCTAAACAATTTACAAATTGATCAAAATTGTGTCGATGGGGCATGAAAACACTTTCACTTTTAAACAAGTTGGGTCAAGCTTACAAATGGTTGTTTTTCAATAGTCCCTGGATTTGTGAATACTTTAATCTTTTAATTTAACTTTATTTCTATAATCTTTTAAACAGGTAATGGTCGGCAAGCTTAGGACATTGTCTCTGAAGAACAGACAGAATAATAGTACCTATCCGTCAGGCTTTCCACAAAGCAGGAACACAGCAATGCCAGTCAATGCCACGTTCAAGATAGACATTGATCAGAAACTGAGGAAGCAGTTGCCTTAAATTGATCAGCATGAAGACAGACATTGAATAAGGGCTGTCTCAATCTCTTATAATCACAGGCACAGCAGTGCAGTCTAGAGACTGAGGGGATAGACCCAACAAAGACCAAATGTCCAGCATCAGTTTAGATTTGGATTTATATCCCGAGCTCAGCACGAGTGGCACAATTAAAGACTGCAACGTTTGCCTGTCTGGACTGTGCCTGAAAGAGCACCAAAGACTTAGCGCAACCTTCTTATCTCAGTCTCACAGAAACGACATGCCTTCTGTGGCTCACGCTACGTTGCCTCAGAACTATTTTGTCTGAAGTGTACTTAAGTAAAGCGGCACTTTGGACATAATTCTGAGGCGATGACTAGTCTCCACAGAAGTTTAGGGAAAAGAAGCCAGAACGTAACACTAAAATCGTTTCTTTGATATGAAACCAAAAGAAAAATTATCATAAAATTCACTTTTACTTTTACTTGAAAATCGCTTCACATGCAAAGACAATTCTGAGGATAATTTGACAATCAATGATAAAGATACTAGTAGTTTTAGTTTAAGATTTTTGTTGTCCAAAGGCTTATTTTCTCAAAGAATTACAGTCAGGCTCTATCTGTTCTGTCATTACTCTGGAGGAGTCATGAATGGCCATAAATAAAGACGGCTTTTGAATGATTCTAAAATTATCTCCCATTACCTGCATTGGACTGAGGATTGCCTAATTTTTTAGATATATATTTGCGACATGATGACATAATCTTATTCGACTCCATGCTGGACTGCAGAGGAGGCGGCCCTGGATTGAAACTTAAGTAACCCTGTCTTTTTTTAACTAGAATTTTAGAAGACCTTCCCCGTCTCTACCAGTTAACATAAAGTTCAGTTGTGAGTCGTAATACAATGAAACTTGGATTCAACGAGAACTCGGATTCAAATATATTCAATGAAAGTATTGAAAGGAGATGCACTCCCCGTTTTTTTTTTTTCTTTAAAATCAATATATAAATAACCCGGATTCAACGAACACTTAAATCAGCAAGCTCGGATTCAACAAAGTCGCTCCCAGGGCGGACAGCCCCCGCAGACGTGGCTTCGCTCATTTTTCTCCCACAAAGAACTTTATGTTCTCCCACAACAAACTTTATATATTCCTAGAATCCATTCATTACAGCTGCATCGTGAACCATCATTCACTTAGCCGATTGCATGCGACCAATCAGGGGCCTTCTTTCATACCAACACATGCTTTGTTGGCATGCGCACGTGTCTACTCTAGCGTGTGTAGAGGTTGGATGGGCGGCCTGCGCACATGTGACTATGTGTGCGTGTTGGGGGGAGGGGGGGGCACCATCAGTCCGGGCGAGGAACGTCACAGTTACAAATACGTCACAGTCTTTTTTCCCCTCTGCAACTGATCATTATTACAATGATAAGCTAGTCTTGGCGTAGATCTACGAAATGAACTGTGCACTGGTCTATGGAAAAATCAAAAGTTGCCGTATGCTAGGCTCTACACAGCAACGCCACTTTTTGTAAAAACAGATGAGATGACACAGGCGTGCACTTGAACGAATCGTGTCTTTTTTTTTTTGTTTTGCACAGCTCATAATATGCAGGCATTTCAGGCCCCACTTGTTACTTTTCTTTATACATTACTTGCTCAGTGCCTGTAATTATCTGCACAAAACCCCATGTTTGCTAAAACGAACACTCAGATTCAACAAGATTTTAGGCCAGGCCTGGCGACCTCTTTGAATCCAAATTCCACTCTATAGGTGTCAAAAGAAAAGGAGTTACCCCCCCCCCCCCCACCCCACAATACCATATTACAGAGGAAACCTGATATAACAGGGATGGTGGGAGTAGAGAAAATGTCCTGTTATATCCGATCCCTGTTAAATCAGAAATGCAAGGAAAGTAAGCATTTGTGGACTAATCCAGCTGTTCATGGGTAGTTTCCTTTGCCACAAGTACCCACGAACAGGGGTTTTGGCACCAACTTTCTCCTTGCCTCCTTAAACTACACCAGAAGAGCTTGGTCCACAGCATCTGCATCGGGTAGTCTCATTTTCTTTCGATCCAGAGCGAACTTTCCATTGGAGTATGCTGCCACTATCTTCTCTCTATCCTTGATAATGGTGTGAATCGACCCTTGTGGAATGTCGAACTGACGACAAATCTCTGCCAGTGAAGCTTGCTTTTTGTCAACAGCCTGGATTATTTCGTATTTTTTTGTTAATTGAAAGGCATTTTCTCTTGCGCTTGACATCGTTGGTGACAGTAGACACAATACGCATGCGTGTTGCTAGGTTTCGGGCTAGATCGAGGTCTGCAGCACACCGCAGCCCTCTCAGGCTTCACACGCAGCGTATGTTTGCAGTGGCATGGCTTGCATGGGCTTGCTCCATCACTGCATTACTCTCTCTCTCTCTTACTTTTTACACATTGTTAACGAGCCGTTGTCCCTGTTATAACCGGTTGGGCTCTGATGAGGCCCTGTTATTGCCGATAACTTTTAATAGAGACAAAGAGTAGGAAAAATCGGGGATTTTAAAAATCCCTGCTATTACCGGATCCCTGTTACAACAGGGCCTGTTATATATGGTTTCCACTGTATCTTCAACAAGCAATTTTTGCAAGCAGGCATATATGTACATTGGTAGCATTTTTTGTAACTGAAAGTCAAGCTGGAACACCTCATTTATAACCGCTTGACCGAGTCACCCTAGAGTGTAATGGGGTTGTAGATCTATTTTTATCTCACAGGAACAGGGTATGGCATGCATTAATATTCGAGATACGAAGAAGCAGGCAAATTATGGGGCCTCATGTTGACATTTACTACCTTTTCTCCTCCCCATATATTCCTGAATACAGATGTCCCTTGTTGTAAATTCACTTGCTCCTCTCTAAATTGTATAAATAAACATACATACAATTTTAAATTAATCAGGCTCCAAAAGTTAGCCGATCATTGTTTAAAATAGTCAGCAATTCTTCATTATCAAAAATCAGGTCCACATTTAGCACTAAAAATAGTGCAGAAAAGTATGTTTCAGCTGAGTTGACTCCCCTAACAACAGTACAGTACGAATTCTAAAGACAAGAAAATATAGAATGAAAAACTTTAAGATCAATGATTTTTAACAGCACTTGTGGTGTAGTGGTTAGGTGCATCGCTGTCGGACGCAGGAGACCTGAGTTCAACTCCAGGGCGGGGAGGAAATTTTCATCGAATATCTCGGTCTTTCTGCTGGAAATTTGTGTCCCTCTAAGCCTAGGTTGGCCTCTGAAAAGTAGGGTCTGAAGCCAACCTCTTAAATGATATAAATTGTGTTGATGGGAGTGTAAAGACACCTAGATCTATCTTCAAAAAAATATATAAATAAATCTTTACAAGACCTCTCTGTTGAAAAAAATTTGCTTGTCAAAAGGGATATTTCACAGACTTGCACAACTAAAAAAAAAGAAAAATATCAATGCACAAACTTTTGATTGATTTCTACTTTATTGCAGTAGTATTCAGTACATTAAAATAATTGATGAGAAAGAAAAACCTGTGAGGGCATAAAATTTACACTCTTTTCTCTCATTCACAGGACATGTATACCTGCATTCACTTTCTTTTAGCTTGTACAACTCAGCCACAGAAACAATATATGCCACATATTACAAACCATACCACTGTATCAAATACACCAAAGACTCCTTAATGTAAAGAACACAGTCAATGTAAAACTCATTATCAGGGCATTGAAATCACCACACACTCCTGAAGTCAGTACCAAGTTTAGAAACATTCGTGGTAATCACTTTTGCAAACCAGGCACACATGTACTTGACTATATCTCACAGAAAATTAAACCTGAACCCCAAAAGAAAAAAGAAACCCCCATAACATTCTATTTTTAAAAATCCATTTTCACTCCACTTTTTGCACAAAAATATCATTCAGCCATTATTCTTTCTGTCCTTCACTTTTCTTTCGATGCCATGTGTCTCATGAGGTGACTTGTCAATTTTTCCAACTTCTTCACATCCTGCGCGTGCTCCGAACGATACTGTAAACACTGAGAATATAAAACACAATATTGTCAATACATTTACATAGTCAAGTGAATAACTTCATACTTCATTGGCGTTGCATGAAATAGTAAGCTGCAATTCCAGTAATATCTTGTAATGACGTACTACCAATTGCACACAAAATTGTTTTTCCTCTGCAAAGAGCTGATGGCATGGAGTAGAGAGTTTTTTTTATACCTAGCACATGTGCCCATAATTTATAATCAATTATGCTAGAAATTTCTTTTTCCCTTCAGGCATAGTGAAACATTTCAGATCTCGTGTAACACCAGCATCTGTGCTTAAGAGAAACAGCATCTGTCTGCACAGTGTACACTTCCTTCAAGCTGCCTCTCTTGTCTTTTCACTTTGGTGCAGAATAACTAGATCTAGCAGGAACTAAAGAAAAACCCACTGGTACCATGTTTGTTTCATGTGATCATCTTCACAACAGGAAAATCAGTATGAAATGTCCATGCTTATGTGAAATGAGCAGCAAATAAAATAATTCTCTATTGAAATAAAAATGAAAAACAAAGAATTTGACATTTTTTAGTACAATATTCATCTTCACTGTTTTGTGTGTGCTGCACATGCTTAAGTACCCATGGCCTAAAATCCTGATTCAAGACATATCCTCTTTTCTTTAGAACAATAGAGATTATTACTGTGGAAAAGTACCCATAAGATTTCAGTATCACGAGTCATCTGCAAAGACCACATATTTTTCTAAAACCAATTAAAACTTATATAAAAGCATATTATGTGAGACAGGAAACAGCTGGTAGTCAATTCACTGCCTGTGCATGTCATAGACCCTGGTAGGCATGTATGCACCCACATTCTCAGGGCATATATAGGTGTATGACTATCATACTCACAGGCGAAGTCATAGGAGCCTGTGCACTGCATCTCACCAAGACAAGATTGTGTCTTACCAATCTATGTTTTCAATGGTCACCAAAATGCAGAGAGGCTGTCAGACCCACACTTGACACAAAGGGCTTTACTTTCCATAATTCATTAGTTGAAGTTGAATGGCACCAGGCACATCATATTATCATATTATATGTCAACTCAGCACAAGCCTGAGTACTTGTAATTTACGAATCATTTTCTATCAAGAAGTCTGGCAAAACTTCAACAATTTCAGAAATCTTTCCTGAAAATTAGCATCTGCTTCAAGCCTTGTAAGGGTCCTGACCTATTCCACGCGCCAATCTGAAGAGACTTGGCAGGAAGAGGAGAGGAGAGGTCTCCATAACAAGTTCCTTTTGGCTTGGATGTTGCACATTCATTAAAATACTCAATGAATGGGAATACACCATGTACACATGAAAATGCTCTGAGAGCAATGTTAAATCATAATCATTACACAGTTGTCTCTGTCTAAACACACAGTGCTTTGGAAGGCTCCTAAGCGTGTGTTTATATAAAACATACGTTTACGTGAACCCTGTGCAATTGAGTAAAGATAGTGACCACTATTGGGGGGGTGGGGGGCTCTAACCGATAATGCTACGAAATGTGATTAATTTATAAAAGATTTCCCAATAACAGTTATGACTACAAATGGTATTGACTGACGGGAGGAAAAACGCTTAAAGACCACATGCTCAATATACCTATGAGCATTAACATGTCGGGAACAGATAATAATAATATGAAACTGCTGGGGACAGTCATGTTATACATTACAGTAGAACACGGCTGTAGCAGGGCTTTTGTTTCCAGGAAGAAAAATCCCCGCTGTAGGCGAGTTCCCGCTATAGGAATGCAAAGTGGAAATTACACCAAAAAATTCTGAAAATCAGAATCTTTATCTCCCTTCCATATCAAGGAAATTTTTGCTTTAGATTAGTACAGTTTTCCATTTCTTGTCAACTTCGTTGATTATCTCGGCCTTTAATTCGAGTGAGAAACATTTCCTTATGTCTTTGTTCGAAGCCATCTTTTCCTATCAATTGTACCGTTAAGCCTAGGCCTACTGTAGAACTGGTGAAGTGGATGTGTGTGCATGCCTATGAGCATCAACAATCGCAATTCAATGAATCAGGAATCACACACTACACGCTCTCCTCTTCTTTTACTTTTTGGCTTAGCCTAGGGCTATGACCTATAAGCTCTCATACTGAGCGTCTAAGCTAAGGCAGGGGGCTCTCGTGACCTAGAGGTTAAGGTGTTGGCCTCTCAATCAAAGGTCCCGGGTTCGAATCCGGGTAGCGACCGAAAAACTTTCTTCTCTAAAATTGTCTCCTTTCACCTCCTTTCCTGCTCTCTAGCAATGTTCTGTTGTCTGCTTTCATTTCCACTTTCTGCCCCCA